ACTACACGGGGGCTTCTATAGGCCATTGCTCCCCTTGCCTCTCTGAGGGGGCCCGGTTCTGGCCGTGGTCCCCGGTAGGCCTAAGAACTCCATACACATGACTGATGCCAAAGTCTGACATTAGCATATCAGCCTGGGATAGCTCCGGGGAGCCGACGGGGCTCCCCCCAGAAAAATCATGTGCAACATTCCTGGGTGTGAGAGCCTCAGTACTGAGCGAGCAACCAAGGTTGGCGCATGCATCATGAGCTCACAGCACTGCTGTTCAGCTTATGACCACAGCATTGCCTAATGTCAAAATATATATATAACTGGTATTACTTAGCCATGATAGTATCACAGAAGAGCCCAAGTGTGATAATGACCTTGTACAATGTTCAAATATCAGTGAATCAATGCTGTTCACAATGTTCACAGCGCTAGTCACAGCACCACAGCATTATTTCGTCCATCTAGGAATCTTCAAACGACTTCATGTGTTACTTTACAAGATAAACTTGTGGTCAATTATTCATTTACATGATTTAGTGACCAGGATTGTGAAAATAGCAGGATTGTGGTGATAATTAGCATTGTATTGTGGGAGGAGGAAGTTTGGTGAGGGAAGGAATCCAGATAGCGTCACTGTGTGGCAGCCACTCTTGCTTTGCTCACCATACTAGCTTAGTGGTTCGCTATGGTGAACACATATGTACATGGGTATATACAATGTGTGTGTATATAGTGTAACAACAGCAACAGGAGTATATTGGGAGGAGCCATTTGGTGAGGAGGCAGCGTCGTACTCATAGCGTCGTCAGCTGGCTGCTGTGTGATTTCTCATGCAGTTTATGGTGGCCACTATGCTGTTTGGTCACAATACCAGCTTAGTTGTATAGTTATGGTGAATAAAACATGCAGATACGTATACATAACATGTGTAAATAGTGTAATAAAAACAATAACAGTATGGTGGGAGGAGCAATGTTGGCAAATAAGGTGTTAGGAGTAAGGTAGGTGATGGAGAAGTGAGGGAGAGCTGGCTGGGTGTGGCAGCTCACACTCGTGGAGTTCCGAGTGTGTTGGTGGTGAATGTATATAGGGTGTAATAGTGTATAGTATATAAATATGTTGTAAACATACATAAATGAACATGAAACATTGGATATATGAGCAATATATGTGGATACATTTGAGACACACATAACACAGTGTCTTGGGACAGTTCAGATGTTCAACTGCCATAATATTGTGTACATGTTCATTATACATAGGATTGGCAAGAAAAAACAAAACAAATGTACAGTATTTGGAAATGTACGTAAAAAATGAACAAAAATACTTATGGCAACTCGTGCATGTTGAAGCTGGAAGGCGGCTGGCTTCGGGAGTCTACGTCACGGGCAACCACCAAATTGTGATATCACACATTTTCCGGACCCCATTGCGGCCAAGTAATTACAATTTCAATTTTTTTTTTTACATATCTGTGATCAGGGAAGGGTATTTAACATTTTCTTAAACAAAAAGAATGTTTTCCCGATAATTTATTTCCTGCACACAAGGGGTGGGGGTGCCGCATTTGGAAGGCGAGCAGCACAGTGGTTAAGAGTTAAACAAAATTCCCCTTTGTGAGCAGCCCCTTGGTAGCTCCTCCAGGCTAACACACCTGACTTTTAAGATGGCAAATATCCATCAGGTTCCAATTGACTCTAGCCCTATGGAGACAAGTCCAGTATTTTTACAAATTATTTTATCCCAGCTCTTAATAGCCATCCTGAAGGTCCAGGAAAATAAACCAAGAGCAGCTCAATACAGTACAACCTTATGAACCAAGCAAAGGCTGAAAAAATTAACTCACAAAATGTTGAGAATTAAAAGGAGTATAGGAGAGCGTTTCTACACTGAGAAAAACTGAGAAGACCCAGAGAGAACAGGTCTCTCCATTGATTCCCCTGGCCAACATTTCACCTATGTAAGTGCAGAATGGTGCAGTAAATAGCTGGGCAGAGTGCAAGGACATCTGAGGAGGAACAGGTGACCAAGCCCAAGATAGGGCCACTGGTATTATTTAAAAAAATGAGGTATCCTCAGCCTGAGCTGTCCACCACACCATTGCTGAGATTCACCAAGGGCTGCCATAGGGTTGCCAAAAAATATAATCCCAACAACAACCACCCACACGGGCACATGATAAACCAGCACTACTACCTCGTTCAGAAGACGTTTTAGTTTTGCCACAATCCTGATGCAATACATGCACAGAGCGATTCAACCGACACACTGTAAAGTGGGTGGAAAGTATTACTTGCAGATAGCAACACCCAATCCACATCTTCCAGAAAGAGGAGAGCAGAAAGGAAAGAATTCAGCAACTGTGGTAGCTCCTAAGTGTATTGTACTGAAGGAAGTAGCCAAAAATGGCCTACTAAAAAATCTACCAGTCCTGGGAGCAGCAGAAAGGGCAGAACTATAGAAACCAGAACAATGCCCAGAACCAAACCCTGCACATAGGGAAGACAAAACAGATAAAGTTCAGGCTCCTGTACAACCACTCTTACTAATCGACGAGACGCCCAGGGCTCCTCCAACAATAAATGATGATGAAGCTGCAGGAGGAGCAAAACTGCCGGAGGCAGGAAAGAGAGACACCGAGCGTGCTAAATGAGACCCAGCCAAGTCCCAACTTGGGGAAATGACAACTGGGACTTCTGCCAGTTTACAAGGAAGTCAAATCTGGTGAGCTGGGAGAGAACAAGATCCCTGACCAACTGATATGTTGACTGACTGAGGGCTCCACACCAACCAGTCATCGAGATAGGCCAACACACAATCCCCTAACAAATGCAGCCAAGCCACAATAACTTGCACTAGCCTGATAAACATGTGGGGAACAAGGTTCAAGCTGAAGGGAAGAACCCTGAAGCAGTAAGAAAGATTTTCCATAACGAGGCGTAACCAGTTGCCGACACCTGGGTGAATAGAGACATGCCAATACGCGTCCTTGAGGTTCAGGGGATGCAATCCAAGCCCCTACCTGCAATATCAGGCAAACATGGGGGGCAAAGTGGTCATGAGGAACGTTGGGGAGGGGAAGAAAAAGTTCCGACCCAAGAGACTGAGGATGTACCATAGTTCTGTCGAGTCTCGCTTTAAGACTGGGAACACCGAGAACACCCACCAAAGGGATGAGATCAACTGCTGCTGGTTGTTGCGGCATCAGCGGTGATGGTGGCAGCAGAGGCGGAGGCAGCAGCAGCAACTAATAGGAAGGAAAACACCTTAGATCTTATTTTTACATTATATGTCCCTGATTAGGGACATAATGATTACAAATACTATACATGTTACTCAGATCACAACCTTTTTTTTTTTTTGTTTTTTGTTTTTTGTTTTTTTGAGATATATACAAGTGTTGTTACATTATTGTACAGCCACTAGTACGCGTAGCATTTCGGGCAGGTCCCTGGAATACGATCCCCGCCGCGAAGAATCGTTTTTACAACCAAGTACACATTTTACTGTTGAGTTAAACAGAGGCTACAGTTAAGGATTTGTGCCCAGTAAATCCTCCCCGGCCAGGATACGAACCTATGACAAAGCGCTCGCGAATTGAAATTCAGACATGAATGGGACCAAGTCTAGGTGTATATCACCAAAACTAACTCCAGGTACAGGTCCCTAATCATCACAGGGCCCAGCTCCAGGGATTCCAGCCAATCAATATGCAGCAAATGCTTCACACGGGCAAACTTAGCCTGTAAAGCAGTAGCTGCCTGGAAAGCCTCCAACTGGGAGGCAGAATTCATCAAGGAAGAGATCAAGTGAGAATATGCCTCACAGGACACAGGGTCACAAACATCACCGACCCAAGAGACAGCATGGCAGGGGCAGAAAGAATGATCATCAGGTAGCAAAGACAATAAACACCCCCCCCTTAAATTCACAAAATGCAAGACTGGAGTAGTCCGGGGCTCTTCAAAAGGACCACAAAAGACCAGAGGGGATTTCTAGGACCCGAAGGAAAAGCAAGTGGATACCCTAGGCACTGGGACCCCATGCCAAATGAACAAACACCAACCATAACCTTAGCATCTGACTCTGGGAGACACGTGCAGCATGCCCTGTAAACAAGTGCATGAACCCAACACCACCAAAGAATGTCCCCTAACCAAGGGACAAACAGAGTTCATAATATCCTTGAACAGCCCAAGGCAAGGGGCCACACTTCAACAGACCAGTCAAAGAGAGACGAACCCCGAAAACACATGGGAAGGCAACTCTGGCTGTGCAAGGGCAGTGTTAGTGAGCACATATGGAAGAAAACCTTGAGTGCATGCAGCCCAAAACTCACAAAACAAGCTGGAATCAAAATATGCACATGAAGCAACACTAAAATAGAACAAAGCAAATGGCTCCCACAGGACAAGAAGTCTAAAGAAGGCCGGCACTTGGTTTGAAGCATCGGGGCTCGCCCATGAGCTGGCATGACCAGAAGCACTAAAAGTTGGTGTGGGGACACCAATGTCAGGAACAGAACCGACTGACTTAGGGAGCCAGCTGAGAGTCGGGGTCAGGCCACCTGTTGGTGGTAACTGGTACTACTGTAACAAATTTCAAGCTCATCTGAATGAATCCCTTATTCCATGTTACTTTTTTGTATTTAGCTGTTTGGCAGTTTTTCAAGGCTTCATTTTCTGTGAACCCTCAAGTTGTCTGTAAAACTGAGCTGACCTTCTGAAAGCTTTTTCTGGTGAGGTAGTTGATTGTCTCACCTGATCTCTGCTTCTGTGGAGACAAAGTTCTGGCTCTGGTCCCCGGTAGGGAACCAGAGCCAGACTGTTCCTTCGATAAATTTCATCCTTAAGTATTTTAAACTTTGTTTAATTACTTGAGAAGTCTTTAAATAAACACAATGATGTATTCTCAATATATTTACTGGGAAAACTCAAGAAAAGCAATAGGCATAAAAACAACTAAATTATTAGGTATCAACTGAGAATACCTACTTATCTACTCACATATGCAACATCTTCATCACTGGTTGTGGCCTTTCCATTTTCAACAATGGATCGTAAACGTACAATCTCTCTCTGGAGCTCCTTCTCACGTTTGGCATCTCCCCGCCCAACTGACTCTGCAAGATGGCGAAGCTCTTCCTCCATCACTTCAACCTAAATGGACGAATTTTTTGCATTTAAGCAATCACCTTAACAGTTCTATGTACCATCATCACAACCTCTTGACCCTTTTTTAAGGGGTAGACTCACTAATGGAAATAAACAAAGATATCCAAACATTAAAAATCATCCATCAGCCTTTCCTTCCACTTGACATACTGCAGGCACAATATAAAAGGAACAAAGTCACACTTCAGCAAAACATCCACAGAAGCACCTCTGTGTTTCATATAATTAAGTATAAAATGCTTCATGTGAGCCATCATTTAAAAACTGCCAAACATTCACTCTTAAATTAAATTTATTCCCCCCCAAGCCTTATTCTATGCCACTTCTCATGCACTCTTCACAGTACCCAGTTTCTCATCCACTTATTCACCATGTCTGTCCTCCATCTTCTCGTTCTTCCACTCCTCATCCTATCTACAGCACTTTTTAAATAGTGCATTTATATATAGCATTAGATACAATATCTAATAGCCAGCACTGAATGTAATGAAAGGCTGGGTATCTGGAGGAGCCCCAGTGGCTCCCTGGAGCTATCCCGCCAAGATTGTTCCATGCAAATGGGTCACATCAGACATGGGTGTTGTCTCTGGCCTAAAGTGAACCAGAGTCAAGACCTGGCTCCCTTAACAGTGGCACAGAGAGCAAGTGATAATTCACCACCAAATTGGTAAAGCATCCACAAAGTCAGTAAAGCTTTACAAACAACTAGAGAGTTAACAAAGATCAAATCCTTGAAAACATCAAACAACTCTACAAATGAACAAGAGAAACATTCAAAATTAGCACGAAACTCATAGTACCAAATGCCACTACCAGGCGGCCCAGCTTCCACATGCAGCCATCTTCCTTGCCAGTTCTGGAATTGATGAACAGCTCAATAATGAACTGACTAACCTGGTTGGGAGGGAGTCGGGGACCCACTCGAGCTCATCCAGAAAGTCTTTTCATTACATACAAAGCTGGGTTAACTAGAACAAAGAAGAGAATCTAAGCCGGGAGAAGTGGCCTGAGGCAACACATGACCAACTGGAACCAGGGACACTAACCAAATACTGGACCACCAGAACCCTATTAGAACATCAAAATGCCTTGAGCCCGAATATCAGCCCAGGTCATATCAGAGAAGACTGTGGCCAACACAGCATACTTGCGACCATCATGAGCTCTAGGGGTAGACTGCAGGCTGGCTAGATTTGATGACACTGCAGACAATCTGGAAAAGATAAGCCTTGGAACTTGGAACCAAGGAAACAGGATCAACCAACAATGCATCCAATGAGACAGATCCAGTGCCTGCAGACGGGTGAAGAGTCACCAACAGATACAATAAGTAATGCTCCCTTGGTCGAATCATTCAAGCATTAATCACCAACAAACCTTTGCAAAAGTAAATCAAATCATTCTTCACCAAAAAAGAAGAAGGCTGCAAACAAACCAACCAACCATCAGGGCCAAAGGAACAAAACCCCTACCTCCAAAGAGCCTGAAGCTCCCCCCAGCCGGGGAAAGAGGAACTATAAAGAAGTGATGACAGGACGACCAACACCTAGTCAAGAGACCAGGATGGCTCAGGAGTAGAAACTGAACAGAGGTGAAAAATGCTGAATGTATTGAACAACCTGCTAAAAGAGGTAGAGCCATGGCAAAATGCTCGGGTTCAGACACCAAGGTAGAAGTACTGGATACCAAGCCTGGGCTGGCCACCGAGGAGCCAGAATGATCACTTTGCCCAAAATACAATTTAAGAATAGAAAGAACCTGGAACACTAAATGAGCCAGGGAAAAAAGGTAAATGAACCTCCACCTCTACCAGTCCAGTCAAAAGGCATCCACCACGTAAGCATCATGATCACGGAGCAGACCTAAGTAGGAGGGAAGGCGCTGGTTCCATGCCAATGTGAAGAGGTCCATCTCAAGGCAACCAAACTTTTAGCAGATCCAACAGAAGGATGCATCATTGAGAGTCCACTCCATAGAAATGACCCAGAAGTGAGATAACCAGTGAGTGAGAACACTGGACACACCCCGCATGTGAACCATGTGGAGAACCAAACCCCTCAAACTAGAACCCAAACTACTTTAAGCATCCAGCTTCACTGGGCAATGGAATGAAGTGATTTCCCCCTCGGTACACAACCCGTCTTCTTACAAATTACGTCGTTTTTCGCTCGTATGCGCCACGACCAAATATCGACGTACAGTAATTTAAAAAGTTTTTAATTGGGAAATTTATTTCCCAATTAAATTTTGGAATTTGTTTTTCCAAAACAGCAAGTTAAGGGTCCTCTGGTAGGTTAGGAAGGCAGGAAGTTCTTCTAAGGTTTCAAAATGTCATGAAAATCATTAATTGAAAGTTTCCTCTCCTAACCTAACAGCCTAAGCAAGAGGACCCAAATCAGAAAACAGGTCAGTACATCATTTTCATGAGCCGATTTAATTTTGAATTACTGTACGTCAATTTTTAGCCCAAGTGCACATGCGAGCAAAAAGAAACACAATTTGTGTTTGCGGTACAGGCTATGAACCACTGTGGAGCACTCAGGAGCTGGTTCACAGTTCCTTTGGATGAACTGTGCACTTGAAGGAACGGGCCCAACCACTGATCCTGGGTGGCCTGGTGAGTGCGGGTCATGAATCCCCATCCCAGAGCAGAAGTGTCCATGAACACACTGAGGAATGAGGAAGAGCGTGTCATGAAACCGAACCCCAAAAAGCCAGAAGAGAAAGCCGATAAAACAGGAACCAATGAAGAGTGGGTGCGGTCCAAACCCACCAGCTCTGAGAGCAGAAAAATTAATGGAACCAATGCCTAGAACCATACTCTGCCCAGGGAAAAGGCAATGCTGGCAAAGCTAAGGCACTCACACAACCACTCAACTAACTGGCAAGTCACCCAAGGCCGATCCAACACCAGTCAGCAACGAGGCTGCAGACATCGCAAAGCCACCAGAGGCAGGGGAAACAAAAACCAGATAAAAGTCCAAAACGAGGCCCAGCCAAGTCCAAACCTAGGATGGAACAAACTGGGACTTCAGCCAATTCACCAGACACCCAAAGTTGGCGAGCTGGGAAAGAACCAAATCCTACGCTTGCCAACACACAGACCAACTTGGAGCCCAAATTAGCCAGTCATCATGGTAGGCCAACACACACGAACCTACAGAAGGTGCTGCCTGGCCAAAATCACTTATGCCAACCTGGTTAACACGCAGGGAGCCAGATTCAAGCCAAAAGGTAGGACTTTGAAGAAGTAAGCCCGATGCCTCAGCACAACACCTAATCAGTCCCTGAACCTAGGGTGAATAGGGATGTGCCAGCATGTGTCCTTGAGGTCAAGAGACACTATTGAAGATAAAGCCTGTAAAATCAGGTGCACTTGAGCCAAGGTGGTCATGTTGAAGGTTGGACAGGGAATGGAGGTGTTCAAACCCAAAAGATCAATGACGTACCATAGGTCAATAGAGTTCCTCTTCGGGACCAGAAACAACCTGGACACCCACAATGGGAGAATACCTGACCCAGAAGCTCTCAGCCCAAGCAAGGGAAAGGGACCGACCAACTCCACTACAGGTCATACAAAATGACCAAAAACTCCCATGAATTGTGGGACCAGGAGTGAGCAAAGTGAGCTAGATGAACTCCTATGACAATGTCAAAAGGGCAAACCGCAAAAGGGCCTGCGAATATCACAAGCAGAACCACCCTTCCATGACACATAGTTGCAACATCCAGTAGAAAACCAGCACTGAATGTAATGAAATGCTAATTTCTGGACGAGCCCTGGAGGCTCACCGAAGCTACTATATACTGTACTGATACTACTATCTACTAGGTCTCATCAGAGTTCTATAGGCCTACCAGCAAACAGTGCGAAAATCTAGCCCTTTTCATAGAGGCGCAGAAGCTGTGATGTGCATTTTTATCCCCTCATCAAGAAAAGAAACCAGAAAGTCGGCGAGTGAAAACATACCACCGCTGGCTTCAAAACACACAAAAGCCTAGAAATCTGCCAAATGAACTCCCCAACTATGTAAATAATCAAATTATTTTAGAACTAGCACGAGCCCATTTGCCCCAAGTCCCACACTCATTTGGGGGAAGGGGAATGATAGCCTACTGTCAGGCAGCATCTCCACCCTCAGTTCTAGCGAAACTAGCAATCGGCTTCCAACACCACCACACAGCCATACGGCAGGCCTTGGGAACCTGGAATGGGGCTTAAGTGGAGCACTTAACTCCCTCACCACTCGCACTTTTACAAACTGTCTTTAACCATTGAGGGCTTATCCTTAGTAGGAGCTTCATGATTCAGACACCTTAAAGTGTCTTATTACTTCAAGAGTGGAAAACATACTATTGTGAAAAAATGGGTTTCACTTTCAGTATCTTCAATATCTTTAACTCTCTATTTCTAAAATAGTTTTCCCATCTTTTCCACAAAAATGTTTACAACTACTCACCTCACTACCGTTACCTCACAAAATTGAAAAACAAGGTTACTGTATAATAATAATTTCATAATCTTTGCAGAAAGTCATATACTGTACACCTGCTACATCTAGTCAAATTAAACAAAATAAGATACAAGTATTAATTTTACCTGTGAATATTTAGCCATCATCACCGCCTGGGTGTGAGTAAACAGCATTTCCAACTTTTTAACAGTCCTATCTTGATCTTCCAGCTTTGTAATCCCCACGAGAGTCTGCACAAAAAAGAATTCTTGTAAATCCTTATGAATTTTGGATACCCGACTGCTAAGAATTAACGTGGATATATTTACCAGACCAAGCCTCAAATAAAATAAAAAACACTTTTGCAATTATCAGAATTTTCAACAATCCTCCAATGTTAACATACAGTATATTATTTAAGTATTGCCCCTTAAGACGTGTCCATTTATTCAAATTCTTTATGTTATGCACTCCTTAAAAGATGTACTGTACATCATTTGCTAAATTCTGTCCTAAATTCTAAATACACGTTAGCTTACTTCTTGGTTAGTATTCTCTACCTCATCAAAACCTTTAAAGCAACTTCATTGTACAGTATTATTTTAAATTATGCCCAAAACAGTTTGCTTATTAGTGGCCTTATTAAATGAACATACTCTAACAATTATTAAACCCCTGTGTAATATTCCTATGTATATTTGTTAAATAAATTATTATTATTGAGAAACTTACTACAATGCCATACTGCTTAAATGAAGGCGAATGAAAAACTTAAATGTTCGGATATTAATCATAGGATGGAGTTTAATAATACTGTAGTTAAATTATACATTTGCTCAAATATTAATGAGAAACATCTAATGGAAGGAGTAGTTATAGTCTATAGAGACTGTAAAGGGCAATAAATCATTTAGTAAAGTAGATCCAATTAACCATAAGATTATTCATAAGGAAGCAAAACTAACTACAGTGGTGCCTCGATTAACGTGTTTAATCCGTTCCGGCACTGAGCTAGTCATGTGGAAAACTCATCTTGTGAAACAACAACAAAACTGTCGTCATTGGTGTCCGAGAACCAGCGGGAACACTCGTTAATCGAGGGAAAGCTCGTCAGTCAAGATATATTTTCTGCGAGTGGCTTGCTCGTTACTTGAAATGTTCGTAACTGGAGCCACTCATCACTCGAGGTTCCACTGTACAGTAATCTCATTAAGTCATATAAGCACAGACAACCTTGTGATGTTCAAATTAGGGATACCGATTCCATAGAACCCTGCCCACAGTTCCTAGAAGTCAGAATAATTGAGCATTCTTCTGAAACTACGACATCCTTTGGCATCATAATCATAACGACATCCTTTGGCATCATAATCACAGCGACATCCTTTGGCATCATAATCACAACGACATCTAATGGTCGATGTCAAGTGAGTCACTCTGTCAGATTTATAAACGCAAGCCCCCAGGATCTTTTTCAGAATACTGTATACAGTATCTTCGGAAAGGATGTAGGTTACATCTGAAAATTTGGTTTTTAATACACTTAAACAAATTGGGTCTTTCATTCACCATCATCATCATTATTATTATTATCATCATCATTATCATTACTGTATTTTATCAGCCTTACAATAGAGCATTACCCTATGAAATAAAATAAAGTACTGTATATTGGATTATATACAGTATACTGTAGGGCCAAGACACAGAAATTAAGAGCTGCAATACTGTATTACAGAAAATCTTTACTTATCTCATTAATTTTTCCAGTTCTTTATGAAAATCCATATGTTCATTTTTTAAGATAAACTGCCAACTTTTCACAAACATAAGCCTCCAGAAATCGGGCACAAGTAATTCCCAAGGCAATTTTCTGGGCAACAACCTCTTTTAACCCTAGAACAGCAGTTCTGGAGAAATAATTATATCCGCCTAGCCCAAAAAATAAAAAAATAAATAAATTATTCATTATAGAATTATTAATATGTATGCAAAATGTAAGAAAAACACAAAAATAAGTAAATATTTGTCGTTTCACTGGGCGGACACACTCTGCAAAGCTACATCTGGCACTTGTCAACACCCGGTGCTCAACTTTGCTGACTCTTCCCGTTTTATCCTCGGATGTTTCACCGATTGTTTTATCACTTGTTTTCTTTATTTACATTCATAGAGCAATTATATCCATATCTGAAAATATCCAAAACATTTTCTTTAATAACTTGCTTGTTTGCATAGTAACTCTGATAATTTTTTGCCAAGACTAATGTCTGGTAGTAGCAGCAATGATCCTGGTGGTATTAAGAGGAAGAAGGTTGTGCTAATATTACAGACAATCCAATACAGTTTACTCATGTCTTCTGTTGACATATTAATTATTTTTTTGTCCAACTGTGCTAATCCAGAAGTTGGAAACATATATCAGTACTTGCAGTAAACCAAATAGCTTATCATAAGAAGGGCCAATGAACACAGGAGGTAAGCTAAACTTGATTCTTATTTGGCAAAAAACAGCAAGCCAAGGCCCTTCAACCAATGAAGCCTTGCCAGAAAGCCAAGAGCCTTCAACCAGTGATGCTTCAGCAGCTGGCAGTCAAAACTGACCTTGCCAAGCTGTACTGTCCTCAGCCTGATGCCAGTACAGTCTGGCAGTAATTTTAGTGTTAAGTTAGGTCATGTAAATTTTCAAGAATTATCGATTTGAAGCTCTGTACAGTCCTGTATGTAGTATCGATCAAGAAGACAAACTACAACAAGGCAAGCTGTACTAAAACAAGGCAAGCTTACAGTACTGTACTGGTATATTTTTTAATTATAGTGCTTGTGAAAATTCAAATTATGTTGGTTGTGGTACAGTACAAAAAATTGCAAATACTGTAGTAGTATGTTCACTTTTACACCTCCCTGGTAAGAATTCTGCTTATCCACATGTCTGGCTTATCCAGCAGGGGAGGTCCTTCCCATATATTGTAGTTCAGATCAGCGAGCTCATAAAGTACTAGATAGCATCAGCCATGGAGTTCAGTTCAGCCTACCGGGGACCAGCACCAGAACCTGACCTTGTCACAGAACCACAAAAAGCAGGTAAGATTCTGCCTTCTCACTGGAAAAGGCATCCAGAGTCAGCAAACCAATACAAACTGCTGTTGGGTTGAATAGGAGACTAAAGCCTCACAACCCGCCAAATGAACTTGCCCAACAATGAAAACAAATAATAGAAAATCTCTCAAAACAAGCATGCTTTCGTTCACCCCATCCCTACCAATTATTTAGAGGGGGAAGGGGGAGGGACCGAGTTCACGATGTCCACTGGCTACAGTACAGTTCTTCTTCTGATGCAGTGTGCAACATGTCTTCAGTAGAGGGTCCTAGATCATTTGAAAGCTGTGGCTGGTACTGGTGCTCTTCAGCTTAGTGCTTCTTTGGATTTTGTCCTGTGTGACTTGGGTTTGTACACCGTAGGTAAAGCATGGTCTGGCCTTTTAAGAGTGCCTAGAGCTTCATGTGCTCAGGGTTCTCTTCCCTGCATGCTCTCTAGTGCTGCCCCCCTGCACTGACAGTTCTCTTCTATGTTGTTTTGGGAATTTTGCTTCCTTAGAGGTCCTTCCTGCTTGGGATGGTTTTCACCTTGGGTGAGTCAGGGTCTCATTGCCCCCTTCCCCTCCGGTCTTGACTTAAATATTCAGTATGTTTAGAGATTTAAACAAAGGGGCTTTATGTTGTCTGAAGACAGTTTATGTTATGGTTCTGATAGCATATTTTTGCCTGGGTGTTGATGGGTTAGAGGTAGTTTGCAGTGGTTGAACCCCCATGTGCACATATTGTATGTTAAATAGGGATAGATTAGAAGATAGTAGTGCAAGAAGAGCAGAGCGGGAAACATAATTAATTTTTTTAGAATATATCAACCATTTTAGAGACTTTTCTGTAAGATCTCTGTGGTTCTATCATAACAATTTAGTAGTAGTAGGCATCCATCAGTTTCAGGAGATTGTAGAGTTGTGCTCTGGTTGTTGGTCTGGAGTGGCCTCTCCAGGGCGCAAAGCTAGGGTAGGTTGATACGGGGAAGAAGCTGTCACCCATGCAGCAGGTTCCCTCTCTCCATGGTCCTGAAAGTCTCAGTTATGCCCTAAGTACCAGGGTCGAATTCTTACACAGGAAAGCCTGTTGTAACAAATGTACTTTGTGTGCATGCATGTGGTGGGGAGAACGGAATATTTACTTTCGGTTGTTGCCGAGGAAGGGCATTGGATTTTTTGTTTAGTGCATCTGCAAGTCTTGGGGTCTCTCCATTTTTTACAGGTTGGGACATTTTTTTACTCATTTGTCCAAATCATGCCTAATATCTCTTTGGCACCAACGTAGATATGCTTCTGAATTCTGTGCCTGCAATGGATTCACTCCTGTTGTGTATAATTCATTTCCATCTATATTTCCAATTCCATCTGCATCCTTCATAGAATAAGTGGGGACTTGCCACCATTAATACTTTAAGACCAGGACCACATTTCGAAAATGAATCCTGGTTCCTTTGGTCCTAACGTCTATAGCCACTTCCTGGTTGTGGTGCGAGGTGGTGGGCTAGTCTAACCACTTTACCAAGCATTTTGGTTGAAGCTGGTTCAGCTTGACCCATCCAGGGGGGGGCATGGTTAGAAGAACTCAAGACTTCTGGCTGATGTAATTGTGCCGATATGCCAGTGGACTACAAGTATGTGTATGCCCTCATCTACCACAGCTTGCAATGCTGTGGGACAATTTACCACACAAGACTAGAAGTCTTTGATAATCCTCATTCTGGCAGCTCTTACATTGTAAGCCCCTAATGATAGTGTCATATTGGGACATCTGGGTACCATTAAACACATACAAGCCCCAGCAGGAAAAAGTAAGATACTAAATGTTGTAGCATTGGAGCTAATAGCAGACTGACTCATATGTAACAAGTTGCATGACAAGTGATGTAAAATTGAACTGCACTGTGGGGGACCATGCTAGAGTAACTTCAGAACTACTTAGACACAAAAATCCTTTTACTGCACCAAAAGTTCGACAGTCTATTATGTATTGGATTTATAACTTGAAATTTCAAATCCTGGCATAAATGCATAGTCCTTATAATGTATAGTGTTACATAAACACTATACATTACATAAACATAGTAATGTATAATGTTACATAAACAAACAAGCCACATGCAAATACAGTACATGTAAATCATGTTTATCCACAAACCTGATACAGCTTCTCCAATTCAGCTTCACCCATGTCCTCCGAATCCCCAGTAACCCTACGGAGGTACTCCCAGTCAACACCCATCCTTCACCACTCTGAAATATATCACACTTTATAAAACTGGATTTACATACTAGGTACCAGTAGTGTTAGGATTAGAGTATTTTGTAGGATTAAATACTACTTAGGTTTGGTGCATAATGTTATAAACAGATGCTCTTTTGCTTTATAAATACTGTATTGTAAATAGCAAGTCATGTATCCAATACCCGGTGTGACTTCATTGTTTTTGGTAAATAAATGCCATGTGGACGAGACGTGCATTTCACTCCTGGCCCTACCTTAACATGCCCAAAACATAAACAGCCAATGAAATAATCTCTGATAATTCAATATTGTAGGCTTATGTACAAGATGTGCTCCTGCTAAAAATTAAGAATTGTGGATACCAGGGAAGGCAAATTCAAATTCCAAAGGATTCTTTAAAAATAATTAAAAAAATTATTCATTGTGTCAGGTGACAGGCAGTCAGTTTATGTATACAGTATACATAAAGCTTATATTGAGTTCCCCCCCAGGGTCGAATTACTGACCCTCCCCACGATGCATCCCCACAACAAACTAACTCCTGGGCACATATTTACTGCTAGGTGAACAGAGCATAGGTGATGGGAAATGCATCCAACCATTTCTGTTCCAGCAGAGATTCGAACCAAGAATTCTCAATTCCGAGTCAAGAATGAACCCTGACTATACCAACAGGACCCTAATGATACAGTACTTGTATATTAAACAGAGATGTAAGGGAAGAAAACTGGCTAAGTAACTGATGATGACAGAAATAGGTAGCCTTTTAAGTTCATTACTTCAGCGTTTACAAGACAGGAATTTGATGATTTACTTGCAGGTGACTAAATTTATATAGAAGATGAAAAAAATAAGTTAACTAGATTAGAAGTTACTTGGGTCAAAATTATTAAGCATATATAGAAAATTTTAAAGCTCAACAAGTTTAAGATCAAAGTACAGTATTTACCAGCATCCTAAAAGAATGCAAGGTTTATCTTTGCAAACCAATGCCTTGCATAACAGAATAATAGAGGGTTGGAACTATAGTGACAATTTTTAGGAATGGGCAACTATCAGCCAATTAGCTTGGTTTCCCATTCACATCTTCAGAAACAGATTACTTAAGGAATGACAGCATGACTTTACTAAAAGACATTCATGTTCAACAACTTTACCCTCATTCTTTTCCAGCATATCTGAAGCACTCAATTGAGGAGTTTGCAACATTCCATACCTTGACTTCAAAAATACTTTAATACTGTGCCTAATGAAAAGTTAATCAAGAAACCCATGGTGTTGAAAGAAATTGGATTCTGGCATGGTTTTTTCAAAGGAAATAAAGGGCAGGCATACATGGAGCCAAGTCCAAGTGTAAAACTATTGCAAGTGGAGTGGACGAGAATTGCGTCCAGTGCCCAATGATGTTTAATATATATACTGTACAGTATATGGTTTCTTCATTTCCCCACTGTTGGTAACAAGAACGTTAGACTCATCGAAGTCACCCCAGGCCTAGGCCAACTAGTGACTTTCCCCAGAATGCAACCCTCAACAATTGCCTAATTCCTAAAGAGAACTATCAGGAGAAAGCACCAAATCATTAACTATATAGCACTGAGAAAGGATCAGGATAAGGATTTGGGATGGGACGGAGGGAAAGGAATGGTGCTTAACCACTTGGACGGACGGGGATTGAACGCCGACCTGCATGAAGTGAGACCATCACTCTACCATCCAGCCCAAGTGGTTGGGCATTATTCCTTACCCCCGTAAAACAGCAACATGGTTGTGCAGTTGGTTCACAACCGAAATATCCAGGGTTTGATTTCTATAACTGTACAGAGATGATTGGGCAGATTTCCTTTCTTCTCAGCATTTATTACGTGAACACAGGTATCAGGTGAACGGAAATGAGCCCAACCATCTCTGTTCAGTCAAAGAACTCAAACCATGGATATTTCGGTTGTACAACCAACTGCACAACCACTTTGCTGTTTTAGACACATGATTGAACAACTTACGCAAACGTTCCAGTGACAGTTAAAATTGGCCTTGGACTAATTCTGTGCATGTCTAAAACACTTGTCAGTGAACACTGAATTCTGGAGCTTACTATAGGCTCACTGATCAATGTACGTTGTTACTGTAACAAGTTTATGTTACACTTAAACATCAGTAATAAATAAAACATTTGATTTGCGTCTGATTAAAAAAGATTTATAAATAAACGGTAAGTCAAATTATGGAGAAGAAACTTACTAATCAAGAAAGAAGAGTCGACCCACCCTCCCAGGCCCTCCCACAACCACAGCTGCTGCTGGAATGTTTACAAACACTGCGTCTAGTCAAAAGAAAACCTGCCAATAACTGTTTAGTCTATACCATATTATGCTTCGTATACGTATTTATATTTTTAAATAATTATATTTTCAGAAAAAAAAGCTTGTAAATACTCGCTTGATGAAAGCTGTAACATTTAGATATATTCATCAGTTTTTATTCAGTTCATTGATTAAAGCCTTTTTGTGCACCACATAAAAAATGAATTAATCCTGTAAGTGGATTTAGGCCCCATAAGAGTATGTTATGGGCCCCCACTTCCCACCTACGTCTTCCCAGCTAGGTGTTCCCAGCCAAGTGTTCTCAGCTAAGTCTTCCCAACTACGTGTTCCCAGCTAAGTGTTTCCAGCTAAGTATTCACCTATTTGTTCTTGCGGGGGTTGAGCTCTGCTCTTTCGGTCCGCCTCTCAACTGTCAATCAACTGTAACTACTAACTTTTTTTCCATACACACACACAGGGAAGCAGCTCCGTAACAGCTGTCTAACTCCCAAATACCTATTTACTGCTAGGTAACAGGGGCCTCAGGGTGACAGAAACTCTGCCCCCATGATGTTTCTCGCCGCCGCCGGGAATCGAACCCGGGCCACAGGATTACGTCTCCAGTGTGCTGTCCACACAGCCACCGGCGCCCCAATATGTGTTGTTAGCGAGGTGTTCCCAGCTAGGTGTTTCCAAGTACGTCTTCACAGGCTTTGACAATGGATATCACCGCCCAATTTCGTTTTTTTTTTTTTTTTTTTTGCTTTCCAGTCCCTGTGGTCCCTCTCATGTCAGCTTCATCCTGCTGTTTAGAATATAGTAGACGTGGCTTCGTTACGCATAGAGAGAAGCCCAAATTGTTAACTCCTCTCACTCTATAGTAAGCTTGAACGATCGTTTCCCACGCTGGAATCTTCTCTCTGCACTGTGGCAAGTCACAGTAGCAGTTCCTGCCACAGTAGCGCTGTAACAGTTGTGAAGGTGCCCTGAGTGGTGACTTGTAGGGAGCTTAGCGTTTGACCGAAACGCTATGCGTATTAGTGGCTCAACCCGTTCTCGCAAATTCGTAAAGTCAATATTGACTTATTAACTACGTGCATAGGTGATATACTAAACATAATAGATACCCCTAAAAAGATTCATAGAAAACACCGACCTTACCTAACCTTGTTAGTATCTTAAGATAAGCATCTTATTGCTTCGTAATTACAGTTATTACTTAACCTATACCTATTATAGGTTAGGTAATAATTGTAATTACGAAGCAATAAGATGCTTATCTTAAGATACTAACAAGGTTAGGTAAGGTCGGTGTTTTCTATGAATCTTTTTAAGGGTATCTATTATGTTAAGTATGTCACCTATGCACATATTTAATAAGTCAATATTGACTTATTAAATTTGCGAGAACGGGTTGCAGTGGCTTTAGGTATTGTATGTAGTAGCTCTATCTATAAATCCAACATTATGTTTGTAACTCTTCATCAATGTATGTATTTGTACCTGAATAAAAATTTGAATTAAATCCACGAAGCTGTCCCAGGGAGGTGAGGTAAAACTACATAATCCCAACCTTAGACAGTTATTAAAGGTTGGCGAGTTGATCCCTTCCTCAGAAGATACCAGCTTCCACTGATAATCCAACGGTAACAGGAGGGTTACACGGGAAATAAAATACGGGAACAAGTCGATTTCTCGCACCGCTCCTGTGCCAGGCAAGTCCACTATGGGCTCACCATAGCCCTTGCTACTTGCCCCGCTCCTGTGCCAGGTAAGTCCACTACGGGCTCACTATAGCCCTTGCTACTTGCCCCACTCCTGTGCCAGGTAAGTCCACTACGGGCTCACTATAGCCCTTGCTACTTGCCCCGCTCCTGTGCCAGGTAAGTCCACTACGGGCTCACTATAGCCCTTGCTACTTGCCCCGCTCCTGTGCCAGGTAAGTCCACTACGGGCTCACTATAGCCCTTGCTACTTGCCCCGCTCCTGTGCCAGGTAAGTCCACTACGGGCTCACTATAGCCCTTGCTACTTGCCCCACTCCTGTGCCAGGTAAGTCCACTACGGGCTCACCATAGCCCGTGCTACTTGGAACTTTTAGTTCCCAGTAGCTGAATCTTAAACAACAACAACGAGTTCTCTGTTATGGGCTATTCATGCCCGTGCCACCTCTTGGGTGGCTTAATCTTCATAAAACAATCTTAGCAAGAGGTCAGAGAAATGCAACAAGGACACAGTGAGCTGAGGCACCAGGCAAGACAATGTGAGCTGAGGCACCAGACAAGACAGTGTGAGCTGAGGCTCCAGGCAAGACAATGTGAGCTGAGGCACCAGGCAAGACAGTGTGAGCTGAGGCACCAGACAAGACAGTGTGAGCTGAGGCACCAGACAAGACAGTGTGAGCTGAGGCACCAGACAAGACAGTGTGAGCTGAGGCACCAGACAAGACAGTGTGAGCTGAGGCACCAGACAAGACAGTATGAGCTGAGGCACCAGACAAGACAGTGTGAGCTGAGGCACCAGACAAGACAGTGTGAGCTGAGGCACCAGACAAGACAGTATGAGCTGAGGCACCAGACAAGACAGTATGAGCTGAGGCACCAGACAAGACAGTATGAGCTGAGGCACCAGACAAGACAGTGTGAGCTGAGGCACCAGACAAGACAGTATGAGCTGAGGCTCCAGACAAGACAGTATGAGCTGAGGCTCCAGACAAGACAGTATGAGCTGAGGCTCCAGACAACACAGTGTGAGCTGAGGCACCAGACAACACAGTGTGAGCTGAGGCACCAGACAACACAGTGTGAGCTGAGGCACCAGACAAGACAGTATGAGCTGAGGCACCAGACAAGACAGTATGAGCTGAGGCACCAGACAAGACAGTATGAGCTGAGGCACCAGACAAGACAGTGTGAGCTGAGGCACCAGACAAGACAGTATGAGCTGAGGCTCCAGACAAGACAGTATGAGCTGAGGCTCCAGACAACACAGTGTGAGCTGAGGCACCAGACAACACAGTGTGAGCTGAGGCACCAGACAAGACAGTGTGAGCTGAGGCACCAGACAACACAGTGTGAGCTGAGGCACCAGGCAAGACAGTGTGAGCTGAGGCACCAGGTAAGACAGTGTGAGCTGAGGCACCAGACAAGACAGTGTGAGCTGAGGCACCAGACAAGACAGTGTGAGCTGAGGCACCAGACAAGACAGTGTGAGCTGAGGCACCAGACAAGACAGTGTGAGCTGAGGCACCAGACAAGACAGTGTGAGCTGAGGCACCAGACAAGACAGTGTGAGCTGAGGCACCAGACAAGACAGTGTGAGCTGAGGCACCAGGCAAGACAGTGTGAGCTGAGGCACCAGGTAAGACACTGTATTTTATGGGCTCCCGACGTCTGTGTCAGTAACTACTCCTCTGTAGAATGGAATCAATGTTAAATTAACATGTAAAGTTGTATTCGAAATGATAGTGGGAAAATAAATGTCAATTTCGAAGTTTTAAAATGTGAATAATATCCTAAGAACTTTGAAGTATTATTTTCTATTAATGTTTGAATGTTATTGGAAGGTATCATCAATGTGGTAATTGTGGGTTAAGAGAAGAGTTCCATTTCTCGTCTAATGAAAAATTATATTTTAAATGGATGGTGGCAGCTCTACCCTCTTCTCTTTCTCTTACTAATCATTTCATTTAATTCCTAATTTTTTCTCAACTTTACCTTTGCACCTTCTTCTTTCCTCCTGTCTTCCTAGCTTGTCTCTTCTTCCCTCCTTCCTCTGTCCTCTCTATCTTTTCCCCTACTCCTCCTTCCATCCACTAATTTCATGTTTTCTATCTATCCGTATTCTTCCTCCTCCTCGTCACAGCGCCAGTTGAGATCAAACACACATTTCCCGGTCTGGGGAACTGCATGCGGACCACTACCTTGATTATCACCTGCGGTTCACCACAAACCACATTCCTCTTCAACGGCGCTACACCTTTTTCTTGAGGCAGAAGACATTCCGGGTCCAGCCACGCGGGATACTTCAGTGTGTTGACCTCCGGGAACAAGCAAATTGTTGTTTACAACAATTGTTTTGCTTGCTCTCTCAGGAGCAAGCAAAACAATTGTTGTAAACTTGCTTGTGTATGTAGGTGTTCCTTTCTTAGGTCTCTCCCAGCTGTCTGGAAACTTTGGTCTCCATCCTACGGCTATACTTATACTCATCCTGGGAGTGGTAGTTTATTGTGCACCCCATACTTGTGCTGTGAGCGGTAGTTTATTGTGCACCCCATACTTGTGCTGTGAGCGGTAGTTTATTGTGCACCCCATACTTGTGCTGTGAGCGGTAGTTTATTGTGCACCCCATACTTGTGTTGTGAGCGGAAGTTTATTGTGCACCCCATACTTGTCCTGTGAGTGGTAGTTTATTGTGCACCCCATACTTGTCCTGTGAGTGGTAGTTTATTGTGCACCCCATACTTGTGTTGTGAGCGGTAGTTTATTGTGCACCCCATACTCATCCTAAGGCATACACCTGCATTAACCGACTCTGCCATGATGGTACAAAAGGCGACCATCCTGGAACTCTACTGAATTCACTGGGAGGTTCTGGAAGCCACAAAGCCGGAGCCCACCCAGGGTTTTACAGTCATCCCGACCACACTCTGGCCTAATGCCGTTCACACCCTTACGCCCTGTGACACCCTTACGCCCTGAGACACCCTTACGCCCTGTGACACCCTTACGCCCTGTGACACCCTTACGCCCTGTGACACCCTTACGCCCTGTGACACCCTTACGCCCTGTGACACCCTTACGCCCTGTGACACCCTTACGCCCTGTGACACCCTTACGCCCTGTGACACCCTTACGCCCTGTGACACCCTTACGCCCTGTGACACCCTTACGCCCTGTGACACCCTTACGCCCTGTGACACCCTAATTACGCCCTGTGACGCCATCAATGGTTGTATTTAATATTTTACTGAAACACGTAGTCACCTCACACAGGATTTTGGTGG